CCCCAAAACCCCAAAACCCCAAAACCCCATAAAACTGAATCAATTCAATATTCTGAGAAATTAAATTTAAGTGAATAATTTCTATATTGATTCTAACTCTTCACATATACTTTTTCTTATGTAAATCGCTTACTATAGTTGTCTCTACGATTTTGTACTTGAACATGAACTTCACAAATTAGAAATACACAAGTAACGCTGGTAGGAAAAATGAAAGGTACTAGATCCATGCATATTTGAGTGTTTCAAGGATTCCTGGAATGTATATTACCTCCTAACTAAAAGGAATCTTAATAGTAACATCCAAAGTAGTTTTAAACATCTAACCGTAAGGCTAAACAATATAATTATAGTTGTAGACAGTTCTCTCTAAAATATCAAAGAATAAAGGGTACTAAAAATTACCTTTTCTATCTTAGTAGAATTCAATAAGGTCTGGAACTGTATAAACTGAATAGTCATCGAGTGGATCTGTATTGTAGAGAGTTCTTTTTACTGAATCGATAAGGACTGGAGCTGATTAGTCAAGATTGAGTTGTCCATTGACGATGACACCAGAGGCACCATTTGGAGTATCAATATCAAGATAAGCTAGTCCAATCATCTCCACTTTCAATAATTTAGATAATGAGTAGTCGAATGAAGACAGTAATTTAATGTTTCTTATCTCTTAAGGATTTGACCTGAATTCAATTCTAATGTTCATACTGTCAATAAGTCCATTCTTATTGCTATCAAATTTTGAATATTTAATTAGAGGCACACCAATTTCATTAGTTGATAGTTGATTAATCGACTTTAAAGTTGAAAACATCTTAGAGTGACCATTTTAGTCCAAAACTTCAAGTAATAGCTTATTAGTGAAAACCACATCTGGCTATTCAAAGTAGGTATTTTCTTTCTTCCACATATCTATTGTTCGTTAAAGCATAAGCATCCTTACTGTTTGTAGCATATACTATAATATATGGTAGAACTAAGGTGCAAGCAAATAGTATTGCAACAAAAAATGTAGCACAGGAACATATTCTTTGATTATAGCGCTTTTAATAGTAGCTTGTAAATAATGCAACCATTTTGAATTTTTTATTAATTCAAATTCAAACTTAATTAATATAATTTATCTCAATCCTCGGGGTTTTGGGGTTTTGGGGTTTTGGGG